GTATTTATTCTGGAGCATATATTTGTACAGGCTTCTATTTTCTTTGTTTTGTGTGAAGAACTTGCTACTAAAGTATTTTTAACATCCTGCATATATATATCTCTGTAAATAACGTATGTACGTATATACTGTATTGTACAGTTATCGCTACGTGAAAATTGATCAAGGTAAAGGTGTGTAATCTTATGTCTTTTTAAGAACATAAATTGTAAATGTTACATGTATGAAGCTTTCTTTACATGGTTTTGAAAAAAATGATGTCTTGTGTCATGGCATTCATAAGAGAGCAATCGATTCTTGTTTGCAACACGAGATGTTCTCTATTTACACAGAAAGATGTATCTATACGTTTATAAAGGTGAAGGATAGAAATTTAAGAATTTTTGTACTCAATTTTTTTTCTTTATTTTATATCAACTTGCTTGTATCATACATATATTGTTGCTTTGTTTAAAAGATGCGATACATAATCGCTCCTTTATCATTGTTGTGAAAAATTTGTCGGAGGTGAGAATCAGTTTGCACTGTTTATCATACATTATTATAGTAACATATTTTATTTATTATCAGTTATGTATCATATTTATTACAATTTATTCATTATCTGAGAATTATAGGATATACGCATTGATCTAAATATCTCATTCGGATTATAAAGGAATTAAATATATGTATACTTTTGTAGATATCAAGGAAAAACTGAACTACGACGAAAAGTACCGGATTCAATCACATCATGGGTGTTGACCGCATTCTCCGTGAACGATGCGCATGGATTAGGTCTTATAGAGGAACCCAGAAAGGTTTGTTATCTATACATATCTATGCAACTTGTGATTCGAAAAGGTTCACAATTGAACTAGTCTGCATGCATATAAAAATAGTTTCATAATATGTTATAGCAAACAAATATTTAAAAAAGAAAAAAAGAAAAACCGATAGTTGTAAGGCGCTATTAAATTTTCTATATAAAAATATTGTTTTGATTCATTGTCTGTTTATTAGTTGAAAGTCTTCAGACCATTCTTCATATCTATGGATTTGCCGTACTCGGTAATTCGAGGAGAAATCGTAGGCATACAGATTGTAGTATTCAATTACATGAATAAAGACGTAACGGCTGAGGTTCTGTTAACTAATGATGGACAATTTGATTTTGCGGAGGTTTCTAATGAAGTTCACGATGTACCAAGTAAGCGCACAAATAATAATAATAATAACAATCTATATGTCGTAATTTTATAGTTAAATTTATAAGCTTATGTGAGTAAATTTTCATGTTTGTTAATATTTTTTTTCAGAACTGGAGCTGTATCGTAAGAAGAAGGTGGATGTGAAAGCTAACTCTGGTTCGAGTGTATCGTTCATGATCATTCCAAAAGAATTAGGATACATAACTATAAAGGCGACTGCTTACAGCGTTTTGGCCGGTGATAGCGTCGAACATAAATTACTCGTCAATGTAATCACGTTTATTCCAATCTTTATTCGCGCACGCGATTGTATTCGCGATAATACATTAAGATATGAATGTTATATTTCAAGGCTGAAGGGGAAACGCAATACAAGAACGAAGCGGTATTTCTGGATTTAAGAAGTATGGAGAACGCAAGTGCAAACGTTACCATTAATATACCTAATAATGCAGTTCCAGGCTCCGAAAGCGTACAAATTTCTGCAGTTGGTAATAAATGCTTCTTGAATTATACGCTATTTAAATTAAAAATTAAATTAATCTCTTTTTTTCAAATTCTTCAAACTTTTTAATCTATATCCTAAACTAAACATGATGTATATTTATACGATATATGATCTGTATAAATTTATGTTTTGAATATTTTTAAAAGAAATATAATCAATTTTATCATTCATTAGGTGACATCTTGGGCCCTAGTATCCCGAATTTGGCGAACTTACTAAAAATGCCATTTGGCTGTGGCGAACAGAATATGTTGAATTTCGTACCGAATATCGTCATCTTAAATTATCTGAAGGTATATATATATTTTTTATGTCATATGACACAAACATGTAATTTAAAAAAAATGTCTGTTCCAGAATACAAACCAATTAACGCAAGCTGTGCAAAGTAAAGCGCTAAAATATCTGGACACCGGTTATCAGCAAGAATTAACTTATAGACATACTGATGGTTCTTTCAGCGCGTTTGGTACGTCGGATCCTAGCGGAAGTACATGGTACGCACATGATAAGATTACTGCGTATTGTTTAACAATTTTATCTATATACATCAAGATATATTTAAATCTTTAAATTTTAAGAATTAAGATATAAATCTTTTTGTGCATTAAGTTATTTGTTGTTTCAGGCTTACAGCTTTCGTAGTGAAATCTTTCAAACAAGCAGCGGATTACATACCAGTTGAGGACAGGATCATAAACGAAGCCTTGGAGTGGTTGTCGAGTAATCAAGCATCGAACGGCTCCTTCCCCGAAGTGGGAAAAGTCAGTCATCGTGATATGCAAGGTGGAGCCGCCAAGGGACTCGCTCTAACGGCGTACACACTCATCGCTTTCCTCGAAAACGAGGTATGAATGCGATTATTATATATATATGTGTGTGTGTCATTTCTCTTTAACATTATTTTATTTAGAAGAAAAATTGCATTTTCTGTAATTATTAAAATTCTTAAAACTAAATTAAATATTAACGCAGGACTCTGTGGGGAAATATCGTAATACGATAAACAAGGCTGTTGACTATATTGTTCGTAATATGGAAGGATTAAATGACACGTATGCACTGAGCTTGTGCGCCTATGCTTTAAATTTGGCGAAGCACCCTTACGAGACGTCCGCGTTTAATTTCCTGGAATCGATGGCTATGACGAAACAGGGTGTCAAATGGTGGAGCAAACCCATTCCGAAGAATGATAAAAATCCGCATTACTCTTTACCGCGTTCCGTTGACGTTGAAATGACATCCTACGCTTTACTCTCATATCTCAGACGCAATCTGGTCGCTGACGCAATTCCCGTCATGAAATGGCTTATCAAGCAAAGAAATACGGAAGGCGGTTTTGCCTCGACGCAGGTAAGCACAATTATTTAAAATGTGTTCAAAACGCAAAATATTCCCTAATATGTTGAGGGAAACTAAACTAACATTCAACATTTGACATTATACATGAATCAATCTAGGACACCGTAATTGGACTTCAAGCATTAGCGAAGCTCGCTGAGAAGTTGTCGAAGGACACGAGCTCGGTACGAATCGAATTTAAATATGGGGAAGAGGGTCAAGGTTACATGAACATAAATAGCGGCAATTCTATGATACTTCAAAATAAGATAGTAAGTTAAAACGAATTATCGCGTAACGCATTGCTGCGACAAATGAATAAATTATAATATTATTTGTATCTTTTACTCACATCAGCTACCCGCGAAAACGCGATTCGTTAATATAACAGCATCCGGCAAAGGTTTTGTGCTGGTGCAAGTTTCCTATCAATATAATTTGAACGTGACTGGAGCATGGCCATTATTTACATTGGATCCTCAAGTAGATAAAAATTCCAACGCCAATTATTTACAGCTATCTATATGCTCAGGGTATGTCTCTGCTTTATTATCTCACTTTATCAATTTTATTACTGTTGATGAGAAATGAAAAATATCAGTGTTAATATTTTTGATATTTTGTCACACAAAAGAAAAGAATTATTTCTAAATTTATTCTTGGGTCCCAATTGAAAGATATCCAGGGATTTAATTTAATTTAATCAAAAAATAAGATAAAAACTAAAAATTTTTATCTTGATTATTTCTTACGATTTTACTAATCAAAAATTATCTTCAAATTCTTCATAGATTTGTTCCAACCAAAGAAGCAAACGAGAGCAATATGGCCGTTATGGAAATAAGTTTACCTTCCGGCTTCACCGTCGACAGAGATTCTTTACCAAGTCTAGAAGTATCATCGCATGTAAAACGTGTGGAAACTAAAAATGGTGACACAATGGTGGTTTTATATTTCGACAAGGTAGAATCTATATTGCAGCTTATCAACAATAAGTGCCATAAATCATTTTAATAGGTTGAAGATTAATGAGATATACAAATATTAATATATAAAACATCTGAGAAAAGAATTTTTAATTTTTTTTATTTTATCATAGATGATCAAGGAAGAGTATTGCCCTACTGTGTCTGCGTTTAGGACGCATAAAGTAGCTAAGCAGAAACCAGTTCCCGTTTCTGTATATGATTATTATGATTCATGTAAGTACATAATTTAAACTAATATAACTTTAAAATATATTTTACGATAGGAATAATATATAAAAGACATAAAAAATAGAAATATAAAAAACATTTAAAAATTTACTATTATTTTTTCTGTACAGCAAGAAGAGCAAGAGTGTTTTATGAGGCTAGAAGATCAACTTTGTGTGATTTATGCGAGGGTGAAGATTGTGAGGATATCTGTGTCTCAAAACCTGGCAAACAGAAGGATAATGCAACAGCATCCACTGCGTCTCATATTTATACTTGTGTATATTTACAACTCACCTTCTCATTTTATTTGCTGCTTCATAAGTACTTGTAATTGCATTGTTATCGAGAATAATTATTTTACTATATATTTTAAATCTTTAACAAAATAACGTGAAGGAGCTGTATAAGTTGCGACCAAAGTACTTGTTATACAGAATATATAAAGTATTACAATCCATTTTTTATGGAATACCCAAATCAAACTAACGTAGGATTAATTACTTGGTAATATTATGTTTATAAAGCCTAATAATGTTTCTTGTTACTGGGAAAGAAGTTATTTTTCACATCACGGATTCCTTCAGATTTTTTATATAAAATGTTTATTTCTGACTTTTATACTACAAATGAATATAGCTATTAATTATAGTTATCAATTACTGTTGTGAAAAATAATTATTACCCATGATATTTTTTATCGTAATATGTAAAAAAGGACACTAGTAGAGGAGATGCTAGGAATTTGTAAGAGTACACAAATATTAATTCTACTTTATTCCATGTGATTTTCAAGACGGTTTATATTCGATCAGTTACAGAAAAATATTGAAAATAAATTATTATAATTCGGGAAAATGTATAATTATGGAATGAAAATAACAACCTTATATTTCGCTATGCGTGCAGAAGATCATCATCGCTGTCCGTTTGACACTGTGTGGGATCGGAAGCGTCGAACAAGAGTCTAGCTTCCTCGACTGTATCGACCTGCGATGATAAAAATACAAAATATATGTGACCACAGCTTATAAAAAGCAAAGTAGAAAGATAGAAGGAAACGAACGTACTCTGCAATACTGGACACGACCTGCGCCTCTCCTGAAACTAAGCAGACTCATCCATGAGCGAAAGCACGCTCTTTTCTCCGGTTTTCGGAAATAAATTAAAGCGGCCAATACCGCGATCACAGTTAGCACTATGCCAGCTATCGCCCCAGCTGTAAGCAAGAATATTAAAAATTGTTGTAAAGTCGTTGCAGCAAGATAGACTGAGACAAGTGAAAAGAAACCACAATAAAATAATTTTGTTTGACTAATTTATTTCTACTAGTTTTACGATTAAAACAAGTTCGGCAAACATTCTTTAAAAATAAAATAGAGAGAATAATTAACCTTGTTGATCTTGTTGTCCTTGATTTATTTGTGGCTTTATTTAATGTCTGGCTTTCAATCTAGAATCTTATCATTTGTCTCAATCTGTCTTACTAAATTCAATGCGTCAATGTCGCATCTGAATTCTGATATCGCAAAATCTATTACCGTGTTTACCGTGACTAGAAGAGACCAAGAGAATCCCAGAGGACGGTACTTTTTCCGCGTCCCGAGAATTGGCATGTTTCGCGCAGATCACTTCAGTGTGCCATTCAAATTCCGCGCTACATTGCGATTCCTATAAGTCACACAGAAAATAAAAATAAAAATAACAAAGAAAGAAAAATGCGAATTAACAATGTCTACATGTATGTAAATTTTATTCGTCGATATATCTGACAACCGTCCGCAGATTATCGCTTAATCGCCTGTGACAGATTGTTGGATTTGTCAATATTAGCCATCTCTGTTGCGAACAAATACATATTTTATACCATGATCGATAATTCAACTGTGAAAGTTGTATGCAAGGCGTTGTATTAACAAAAGCAGGATACTACAATATTTTTTGAAATACTTCAATTTGAGGATGTATAAAGAATTGTAAAGAATTAACATTATATGTTTCACATTTTATGTATACACACACACATAATATAATATTTTTAATATTTTAATATCTAGTGTAAATTAAATAAAATAATTCGTAATTAAATAAAACATTTTAAAAATTTCTCTTTTTATTTAATTTAAAATTTCTTAATTAAAAGTTAATTTAAATTGATATTATGAAACATATATAGTTAATCTTAGTTTGAATATGTAAACTGCAATAAAAATAGAAATATGCGAGTTTGATAGAGAAGATAAAATTCAGATATTGTTAAAAATATTTTAAATAGATGATATTCATTATCAGTCTTTAAGAAATATAAAAACTACTGCTTAATTGTTTAAATTGTTTAAAACATGGAAAATAAAAAAAAGTAAATAAGGCCTTGATATTCAAAATCTGAATATTTTGTGAAGAATGTCGTCGCTTTTTCATCGAGATATCACATATAATATATATACATAAGAGACTTCGATGATAGAAGCGATATTAAAAATATCCTGATACTGTTCCTCTTCCATTATCACTATTTTTATTAACCTGGCATATTAATAATATCATCAAGATATAATCGAATATTTTGTCAAACAGATAAGAATAATAATCAAATATAAATCATCTATACCGAATCAATTCTATATATTTAATTAAGACAAAAAAGTATAAAAGATGATAAGCGCGATATGAAATATAATGTTTAATAAAAAAGAAAAATCCTTGTTATATAAAAATTGGATAATCGTTAAAATTTGCACACATCTTACATTATTTTATATACAATATATAATATTATTTACAATATAATATTCACAATATAATATTATATACAATATAATATTATGTATGAAAAGAGAGAGAAAGAGGAGTCATCTGGTCCAGGTTCTAATGATAAGCAAAGTGTTGATAAATAAAAAAGGAACACGAGCGAAACGAGTGACATTCTAAAGAAAGAGAGAGAGAGAGAGAGACAGAGAAAGAGTGGGAAAATTGAAAAGAGGGGGAGATCCCGATCGCTCGCGCTTAGTCAGTCTGTGCCCGATTGCGCGGTCGTGCGGTCGATTCGATGATTCTGGGAATTTGCGTTCAAATTGTCTTCTTTTTGCGTTTCTTCTGCATTTAAAAAGAACCACATCTCAAGAAGGGAGAAACGTGCAATTAAGACAAAGTGTTCATTGACGTAATCGGAAGCGTTGTACGCGAAATTACGTGTTGTGACACCAAAATAAGTGCGTGCATGTTTGTGATATCATTAACAATTTATCAACGCTGTCTTCTGATAAAAGGGAAATCAGGGGTGAACGACGCAAATGATCGTCCAGTAACGCGTATCATTTGTCCATATTGTAAATCGGTAAGTAAACGGCGGTGTATATATAGACGTCATTTCCACGAACCGGTTCAGGCACCGCCTCGCGAATGATCGTATCGTACGCAGGATCGGATTTAGTTTTTAAAAAAATCACCGTCACGCAAATATATTTATTATCAATCCCGCCCAAAAAATAAGCAGTGTTATATTTATTTTTATTTATGTATTTTTTAGTTTTATTAATTGTTTGATCAATTGCCCATAATTTTGGTTGACAATATGCTTCTACAGATTTATCAATCAAGATTCGTAATCCAGAAGGTCGGGCATTCACAGTTTTTTTGAACTTGCTCCATCATGTCATTAATTAATTTTTTCCCTTTATATCATGACGTAAACGTGTTTTCCCTTGTCTCGTGTAGAGGAATCTTTAAATGTAAAAAGAAGTAAACGAAATTATCGGATGCAGCATGATAAGACACTATTTTTATCTATATATAATCGAAACGCAAAAAGATCTTGAAAACTCATAAAAATTTGTTTAAGAGCGCCAGAACGAATAAATCGGGCCCTGTTTGGTGACGTAAATACGCGCTCGTCTACAGAGGATCGTCAAGGACGATCCACACATCGTAAACTCGCGTTTCATTAATCGTCGTGGTTGTATTGTACAGTTGACACGAACCAGGATGTGCCATGTTTTTTCTTTTTTTTTCTCTTTTTTTTAATATCACGATATTCAGGTTGATAACGAATCGACAAAGTTCCGCGTTTCCACGGCTCATGATTTAGCAGCGTAATTTAACGCTGGTTTATTGACTGCGTTCTCCTGGGAAAAGCCCGATGTGCTGCAATTTTACAGAGCGTTTATATGGCAACCGATTTCCAGCAATTGCTATTTACATAATGCGCGAACGTAATTGAGATTCACCAGATACACACGAACGAACGATGAAAGCGAAAAAAAGAGATATAAAAAGAGGGGCATATCGCGAAATATCGAGATATAATTACGCTTACGAACTTTGGATCGAACGTGTCTATCGATTTTTTTTTATATCGATTATTAATAAGAATTGGTTTAAAAAATGTAGAACGTGTGTATTTCGAGCAGTCGCAAAATTATATAAGAGGAACTACATCGATGCAAAGAAAATTTTTACATATGCATTTAAAATTCGTAAATCGAGATAGCTACTTATAAAAAGCGGATAATACGCATAGAAAGGAAGTTGAAAAATATCAACCCGCAAAGATCAAGTGTTATCCATTAATGTGATATCACGTTTTTGTGCGGAAATTACAATAAGCATATATGTATATCTGCTACGCAAACGCAATAAAACATTTATAGTTTAACAAAAATATTTTGTTTTTCTACTAATTTTTATGATATTTTATAATATTTATTAAGTAAAATCATTAATTTAAAAAATTTTTTTTAAATTGAGAAACTTTTTTTATATAAAAATAGAATTTTTTTTAAACTTCTGTCTATATCAAAGTCGTGAATATTTTTATTAATATTAATATTTTGTGACAAGGAATTGTTTGTCTTATACTTTTATACGTGTGTAAAATCGGTAATATAAAAATTAGGCCAATAGCCAATTAAGCCAATGAAGCCTACTGTTAATCTTTATTGTGGCCTTTTCCTCATATCTTTGCACTTGTTGGCTGTCAACGCTCTTAATGATTGTCGAAAATGTAATTATTTCACAAAATTGAGCAAAATTGTAAATTAATTGCAAAAATAAAGTCACGCGGAGCATTGTGTAAAGAATGTGATCTTGCGAAAAAAATCATCGGAATTTGATTATAGATAAAATCTTTAAGCACATTATTTGTTTGCGTTTAAATGTATGCAATTTGAACAGGTGTTAATCTCTCATCAGAGTTATCACATTATCAGTGATATGCCCAAATTAGAATTTTTCAAATAAGATATAGCGTGTTCAAGTCTTCACAATTATGTACTCTGATAATAATAAATATTATACGTATCTATTAGATAATATAAGAAATATATAATAGTAAAATATAATAATAAAAGAGGAAAAAAATATGTTTAAAATAAAATAAAATATTTTGTAGAATAGTTTTTGAATGAGAGATTATATAGCAATCAATCACTGATAACGTATCGTTTTCGCACGCTCGCGAAGCTATTTTCAATTGCGACGATTACTTTAAGATATGCGATGTATATCACATGTGATAGTCAGACACAGTAGCATATAATACAATATATTTATATGTACATTCTTGAATTTATCAAGTGTTAATGTTTTATTTTAATTATCTGTTAATTATCTTCAATCCAAAAACTATTCAACATCCACTTTTGTTTTGATTGCATATGTGTTGTTTAAAATTTATGTTAAAACGAAATTATCTTGTATATTTACTTTTTCCTAACTTTATTTGTACCAATATTTTTTATGTAAAAAGAAGAATATAATAGATTTTTCTTCTTTCATTAAAAAAATTAAAATAGACTAATAGACTATTATTTATTATTGGAGTTTTAAATTATACGTACTAGTACTTAAATACTTATAAGTTTTTAAATTTGAAAAATCTCAAATTCATTTATTAGCATTTAAATGAATGAATAAAGATGTTGTTTTATTGCGAGTCTAGTTTTACACCAAAAAACATTTTATTTTGAATCCTCCAATTAACAACTTTCGAACGTAAAAAATTAATTTAAAATTTTAAAGAATCTATTATAAAAACTATATTAAGTTTTAAAATATGTTGTTACGCACGTACTTTATCTGGAAATTCAAAGCTTCACAAATAAACTAATTATTATGATAGTTTTCCACCCGTGTGTATTATAAAACAGCAATTTACTGATTATAATTCTGCGAATTTAGCGTGGATATTATAACAGTTTACGTCATCGCAAGTTTTCTCAATCGATATTATACAAGCCATATTATATATATTATACAAATTTTTTTTTTTTTTTAACATCAACAAAAAATACAATTAAATGATCGACAAATAAATATAACGAATTGAAAACAAATAATATATTATAGTAGTTATAAAAGAAAACTCTTAAGAGTTTGTGGATGTAAATAAAAATTACAATTTTTGCAAAGGAGAAAATATAAAAAGATATTATTTCTAAATAAAATGAAAGCATATATCGAATTCAATAATGAGATTTTAATAATTAACATTTTAAAACTGCAATTTTTTATTTTCTTCTATAATTCATCATATGACTTAATAATTATTGTATTAAGTTTGAGAATTTTTTATATAATTATCGAATATAAATATAAAATATTATATATATTGAAATATATTTTATAAATATATATAAATAATACCGAGATTTTGTTTTCATCAGGCGATACATAGGATGCAACAAATATGTATTGTATATTTTATCGGAAAAACAAAAAATGCTATTACAAGATTGCAAAAATGATATGTACTGAGAATACGATTTATTTCATACGATATTATGTGTGATATATAAAAATGTAAAGCACACCACAAAATTTCTATAGACTTATCTCGAAAAGAGGAAGTGTTACATTTATCTAAGCGATACTTCCGATTTTCGCGATATTACTCCTAACATTCGCGATTTTATACGTGAAAAATAAAAGCGCATTAGTATATGTATAATGCAATACAAATTTTTTCTTGCTTGTTTAAACAGGTGTCAGATTATAAGTGGGAGAATTATGCTTTGGAAAATGATCACCCGTCGTGAAACGTACTTTGTGATTTTGATGATCACTGTAAGCAGCTTCTCCACTTATCATTGCCCAATAGATGGAACATGTGTAGAAATATCATGCGAATCGAATTACGAGGGCGGTTTCGAAATAAACTGTTCAATGAAAAACGACTCCTCTTTTATTATAAATATTCAACCGAACCAATACATACTGGTACGTGCTTATCTAATTTTATCTAGACACCACTGCAAAAATCTATATTCATTACACTGTTCAAATTTAAACAGTTTATATTCAAAACACAGAATTTTAAAAGAATGATTAATTGGGTTATTAACGTCAATATTTCGGATATATAATGATAGATTTAATGAAATAATTTTCTTCGAAAACAAATTCATACATATTTGCGAAGAGAAAGTTTATTTAAATAATTAAAAATTAATAGCCTCCGAAATATTTCATATCAATTAAGAGATATTGATAGACTTATAAACCTGAGAATTTTATCTACACATATAAATTTAGGAATTTGCAACCTAAAATAAAATATTTTCTATTTTATTTTCACACATGTTTTTCCCACGATATTATTTACACTACACTAAAAACTCAGGAAGTTTTGAAACCTATATAATTAAATCACAATTATTTTCTCTTTCTTCTCCTCCCCACTTTCTTCCTCTCCCCCTTCTGTCTAAATTTTTACAACTTTCACTATATATATTTTTCATTATATAACTATAATAAATTTATGTGAGCGTATATTTTTTTCGTAGATTGAATGTATCAACTCGCCGGAATGGGACAATTTTAATTTGGACATGGCGTCTTTCATAAAAAATGAAATCAAATCAATGTTCTTTCGTATGTGCGATTTTCCGAACAACAGCAGTTTGGGTGAAATCACGCAAATGTTCGGAGCTACTGGCATTGAGAAATTAAGCTTCCAATCGTACAAGGACTTGAGCTTCGCTCTGCAAAAGTACCATTTGAATGACTTCGAAAATCTTAAATCCTTGGTTTTATCGAGCAACAATGTGACCAACGTGGACAAGGATCTATTGGCCGATTTAACAAATTTGACGGGGCTCAACTTGCTCGACAACAACTTACATTCGATCGATGGAATTTTCAACCATACGCCGAAATTGCAATGGCTCGAATTGGGCGATAATAATTTGCACTCGATAGAAGTAGGCACGTTTGAGAATTTAAAAAATCTGACATTGCTCAATTTGTGGAAAAATAATTTAACAGAGCTACAATCGGGGATTTTCGACGGACTCATCGCTCTCAAAACTCTCGACCTTAATACGAATAATATGATTAATTTAACGGAAAATATATTCGCGAAGCTAGAGAATCTCGAGATCCTCAACTTATCTCGGAACAATTTTACACAGTTGCCGAAAAATCTGCTACGAAATCAAACGAAACTGCATACCTTCTCTCTGTTTGAAAATAAAAAAAACATGACAACTTTGCCGGAGAAATTTTTTGCTAATTTACCAGAATTGAAGGTGTTGAAACTGACAAAGAATGGATTTATTAACTTGCCGGAAGATCTTTTCTGGGGCTCTTCCTCGTTGACCAATATCACTTTAGACCGAAATTATCTTACAACTTTACCCAAGCGAATATTTCGAGACTTGAAAGGATTGAAAGAATTGATACTGAATTTCAATGATCTCGAGAAATTGCCTGATAATATTTTCTTCAATACCAATCAATTAATAAAATTGGATTTATCAAAAAATCGCATTACTTTCATTTCCGAGTATGTTTATATCACTATTACTATATAAACGATAATTGTTTCTATAGTTTCCATATTTTTATTAATATATAATTCTTTTTAATGTTGTAGGCACGTGTTCGATGGATTATATGCTTTGGAAGAATTAAACATAGAAGAAAATCAACTGATGACCATTGCTGACCGAAGTTTTAACTCTTTAGGGCATTTGAAGATTGCTAAATTTTCTAACAATCGTCTTACATTACAATCTACTTTTTCCGAGTATTACAATGAATTTGGATCCAACTCACCTTTTAGTTATTGCGTCGAATTAAAGGAATTATATTTAGCTAATAACAGTATTTCAAAAATATTCGATGACTGGAAGCTGAGTGATGTAAAACTTCGAAAACTAGATCTCAGATATAACAACATATCCTTTATAACTGTAAGTATTTGAGAAAAAGCGCATATTATCTTGAGAGTGTTAAAAATGTGATTGACTTAGTTATAAAATTATTTTCGAAGACAATAATTTATACACATACACATCTTTAATTTTTCTTTTTAATTTCAGAGCGAAGATCTGCAATTTATATCGAGAAATGTCAAAGTGGATTTAACTTATAACAAAATAGAGCACATTTTCTTGGACAGTGCCGAACAACTTGCGGAATATCAAGACAGAGCTATTCGTGATGCGATAATATATGTGGGACACAATCCGTTACATTGCGATTGCAAGCTGTATGACTTTTTACGCTATATCGAAGGCAAAATGCATCCCAACGTTCAAAATTATTTCCACATAAAACCTGGAAATTTAACTTGTGAAAGTCCAGAAGAGCTGAAGAATGAGCTCGTTACGAACTTGAAATCTGAATTGTTAATGTGCATAGTGAACGACACAGATTCTGAATCTAAGTGCTCCGAGAAGTGTGTCTGTTTCGAAAAGCCCGAAGACAACGCGTTCATATTTGACTGCTCTCACAAAAACTTGACTAGCATTCCGAACGATATAAAAAATCCTGAAAATTACAAACAAGTCGTATTGAATTTCACCAATAATCAGCTTACACGAATATCGGATTTAAAAAATTTAAAAAATTTAAAACTCGAATCAGTGAAGAAACTTATTTTATCTCACAACAACATCTCTGAAATCTTTTTGGACGAACTGCCCAGGACAATACAGGTAAATCTCTATGCAATATTTTATTCGAAAAATCATCTAAAAAGAAAAAGTATCAGAAAATTCAAAGACCCAAGAAGTACTCGCAAAAATATAGAAAAAATATTTCATTAATGTAAAAGTTCGCAGAAATCATTTTTAACATTTTTCTCTTCGTTGAGTCCTTCCAATCACTATGTTACATACAATATTTGAAAAAGTATTACAATTAAGATTTAAATTGTTTCAGGTCTTAGAACTACATAATAACAACATGTCAATAATGCACTCTGATGTGTTAGAGTTTTTGAAAAATTCTACGAATTTAACTGACTTGACGTTACACGAAAATCCATGGATATGCGATTGCAATACTAAGGATTTCCTAAATTTCATTCAAACAAAACTCGTGAACATACCCAATTTATTTAAAGTTACGTGTCCAGGGAAGAACAAAACCATATCGGAGATGACCACGGTTGAATTTTGTCTTTTCAACAACACAGCGACTATGGGCGTTAGCATAGCAATCGCTCTGATGGGATTGTTTATCGGCATCTCGGGCCTACTTTATTATAAATACCAACAACATATCAAAGTGTGGCTATTCTCGCATCAATGGTGTTTATGGTTCGTAACGGAAGAGGAATTGGATAAGGAGAAACTATACGACGCGTTTGTAAGCTACTCGCACAAGGATCATGACTTTGTAGTGAATGAATTAGTGTCGAAATTAGAGAACGGTCCGACGCCGTTCAAACTGTGTCTTCATTATCGGGATTGGTTGGCGGGCGAATGGATACCCGCGAATATCGCTAGATCTGTAGAAGAATCGAGACGGACGATAGTGGTATTGTCGCCGAATTTCCTCGAAAGTGTCTGGGGAAGGATGGAGTTTCGAGCTGCTCATAGTCAGGCATTGAGCGAAGGTCGAGCGCGAGTAATATTGATCCTGTACGGCGATATCGGTCATACGGACGACTTAGATTCGGAATTGAAGGCGTATATAAGTATGAATACTTATGTCAAATGGGGAGATCCTTGGTTCTGGGACAAATTGAGATACGCGTTACCGCATAAAACCAAATTACCCAGAAAGAGTAGCGCGATCGGGAGAAAAATCTTTGAGAATCATCAACTGTGTATTCAAGCAAATGGAGATAAAAAAGAGCTTATGTATCCGATCGGGATCCCCGAGACTCCTCCAAATACTACACCACCCGCCGATACGTTTAAAACATTCGACGAAAAGCTGCAGAAACAATTACCTACGAACGAGTTTCCTCAAGCATTGCGTAAGTTGAACGAAAACGTTACGATAATTCTTACACCGGAACATTTAATCAAACACGATCCTATGATTGATAACAGAGAGTACATTGCTTGACAGCGCAAAGATAAAAATATAGGAAATGATTAGCGATCACATTTATAATTTCGTCTGTGATAGATGCAGGGTTGATGCTCCTAAATTGTTTTAAGAATTTTTTTCGTAAAGAAAACTTTATCTTTAATTTTGAATCTTCAGATAAAATAATTAAGAATACCAACTCGATATAATAACGAAAGAGAAAGAAAAAGAACAAGCAACTGACTAATGTTAGAATAAATGAATCTACTTATGTTAAGAGATGAATCTACATATAAATGTTAGCATAATATGTAATATGCATTTCTTATCAATTCCTGGAAAATTAATTTTCAAGAATAAAAAGCTCACTTAATATAAAATATTATGCTATATATATATATATATATATATATATATATATATATATATATATATATGAACATTTGCTATTATATTACTCTGACGATTTTTAAATATCTTTCGAAAAATGTGACTTTAAATTTAAACTTGTCTACACATCATATTTAAAATTCCAATCGAGATTGTAAATTGAAATTATTATAATGGCTTTTTAAATATAAGTATTACTATTATTATAGTATTATGTTGTGTTTATATATAATGTTTATTCCTTGATGTGGGTTAATCTTTAATGTGCTATATGCTATATTGTGCAATACATAAGTTTTTAGTATATTTTTTAAAAAATAGCTCGTATAAGAAAATACTCAGTGATTATTTGATGTATTATGATGCATCTTATTTAGATATCAAATATATATAGTGCAATAGCATTAGTAAATAAGATTTATATATATAATCTTTTTTATTTAATAGTATATATAACATTTTGCGTATCTTCATTACTGTACCAATGCTTAATAGATTTTTGATCAATTTATTAAATGTTGATGCAGTAATGATGTGTGAAACAACTTATATAATTTAAGTTACTCAAGCAGTACCTGACAAATAATTAATTCGTAATTGTTCTTTACACAATACTTTCCATGTCATGCTTTATGCATTATTATCGTGTATTAATAGAGATGTTTTTATTAAATACAAAATACCCTACTTTTTCTAAATATTCTTCGTATAGATTTTTGGGTGAGTTTGATATATATCAAAATATTTGATATATACGCGTTTGTTCTTATGAGATATCAAAGTATTAATAATACTTTTCATGTATATATGATATATGTTATGTATGTATGTATGTTCGTATATATGTGTAGATTTGTAATCTAATTGTAAGAATTTTGTTGTAAAGATATTAGATTTTGAAGATTGTAAATTTATATAAATATATGTTTTTATTAAAGAACTGAATATGGGTTGTCAGAAAGTAAGTCTTAATACTATGTGTGTATATAGTCATTAGTGTGAAAATATTTTGAAAGTAAGATATATTAAATAGAGAAATAAATAAAAAGTTAAAATTTATTTTTTGATACGTATGTTTCATTCTAGTAAATTTTCAAAATAAAAAAATTGGTTTTTTTTCTTAAAGCGTATCTTATAACGTTATCTCTAAAAAATTTATCCTTTTTTTGTCCCAAGAAATATTGCGCACTAAATAAGTATTTTGAATAATTTTCACTTACCAGTAGCAGTTTTGGTGCACCAATGCCCATGGAATCGTTACATATAAATCTTACTTCGGATGTATAGGAATCTAAAATAGAATATAAAATACAATTTACATATATAATTAAAATAAATTGTGAATGCATTAATACAAAACGAGATAATCGATAACTTACTATTGTTACATTTACTGCCATTTGAATATTTAAGTTTTACATCATCTCGGCTGTAATCGAAAAGCACACTCTTCAGTGATCCATAACCATTAGTTCCATGACATACAGCAGAGCCGTTACAATATTTTTCTCCGCCACAAATATTTATACTGTATTCCTTGCTTTGTTTGCCTTTCACCTACAATTTATAAATTTCTAATATTTTTCGGTGTTTTGGTATCATTATTAATAGACATTGTATATATAGGCATTTCATATGGTTGCAAATAAGGCAACAATACAAATATTTATAGGAGATTAAATAAGGATATATATATTTTAAATAATTGAATATAATAATATATAGATATAAAGTTGCCCTTATGTTAATGAAAAAAGGAATTTTACTTTATATATGTATATGCGGTTAATATTATATAAATGATATATTCAAAATATTTTAACTTTTCTTTGTAGAACATATTTTAAACTCACATAGTGTATCTGTTGTTTTTTATATAATAAAGAAAGATCATATTCGTACGAGAGAAAACTGTCTTTTATAGTACAAGGTGGCGTCCAACCGCCTATCACAGCTCCACATGCTATACTGGTATTCCATTCAAACATATAAGTACAATTAACATAAGTCTTATATACTGGAAGTCCCTGAAAATACGAAAATTTTAGCAAAGTATCGCTTATAAAAATCCGTTTATTATATGATATATTCTTTGAATTTTTTATTTAATCTTGATATCTTTTTATTATATTAAATTTGATTTCTTTGTTGTTAAATTATCAATGTTAAACTCTCACCATTATCTTTAAATTATCAAGAAACTAATAAGAAAAGTAATTATTTTATTAAAGGAATAATTAATATAAAACTTCATTATATAATTCTAAATCATAAGGAAGGCGTTCATTATATAATCCTCTCAAATAGATTTATAAAGACATTAATCTTTTAATGATAATAGATTTCACATTAAAAAAATTAAGATTAAGCGAATTCTGTATATTATTACCTGATTATTATTATCACAAACAAAGGTGAAAATTGAAGATATTGATTTAGTTGGATCCTCTGGACACTGTGATCCACCAATATAACGTAATACTATTTGTAGATCTTTATTTAATGTGGGGCTGTCCTCAGGAAATCCCAAACTCTATTAAATTATTATTTTAATTAAAATTAATTAAAATAAAAAATGTTATAAAAATTTTGAATTTTTTATATTTTAATTGCGATATTGATAGTTGTTTAAATATATTTGTACTTACGATTTCATTGGTATATTCATTCTTTGAAAATACCGAAACTTTACAAGCAGCACTACCATGTGCACATGTAAGACTTCGAGTGGGGACTAGGGGTCTGCAGATATTTATATGGAACTCTGTACCGTTGGCTCTTACAATGTAATTATTTGTAGATTGTATGAGAGGAGTTAAGTTAATCTCATCATCGTTATTAGTCGTACATTTAATCTAGACGAAAAAGAAATTCTCCATTATGTCAAGAAAAAAAATAAAATTATTGTATAAGCATAGATGTACATATAAGGTTCGGGAATTTCTTAGCTCACACTAAGTGTCGTTCTATCTTTCTTATATTTATGAAAAGTAGTGTCCAAATACAGCTTAAATATGCTTACTCTTTTCTCGCATGCTAGATCTGTATTCCAGTGTATAACAGTCTGACAAGGATAATCTTCCATAAGCAACGGTTCATTGGACGAACCTTCCGGTCCACAGAAGAATCCAATAACTGTATAATGATGCATCCCATTTTCGCATAAATCACCATTAGTGTAATTTAAATAAGGGCCACCCTGTTGCCATGTCAAATTTGTATTAGCTTGGCCCAATGGTGTATTATGTTTTAAATTGCATATTCCTGTATGTAAGAATAATAATTTGGTAAGAAATTTAGATCATATCAATTTTATGCAATTGATAAGAATTATACAGTACCTGCTCCAATTCCACATACATTATTTGTAAGTGCTTCACATACTCTGAATTTATATTTTATGCCATTTGTATTTACGACTGTAAAATCCTTGTTCATCAGTGACTGCAAATTATATCTAAACATACATGACAAGATATATAGTTAGATTATATAAATGTATTACAGATTTATGAATTAATCGCACATAAGAAAGAGGAATAAAATTCTTACGTAAAATTCGTGATTGGATTCGTAACCAAGCATTTGCCTGCTGTTTTGGTACTGTATTCAAGTAGAGACTCTATACTACATGCTGCAGCAGTATGCCATATTAATTGATAATGACAATCTTCCATTCCACCAACATATTCTGGAATAGTCCCCTGTATGATACCAATATCATAATATTTAAAATGCATTTCATTAATATACTATATTGTATGTGTGTGTCTGTATAATCTAATGTTATACCATGGCTTCCTTTACACATATAAATTTAATTGTTGTTTTAATATGTTGAGGCTGAATATTTTTTTTGCACACTGCACCATTTTGATATTCTATTTGTAAATACCCATCCTTAAAGAAAGGAGGTTCTTGTACTTCTCCTAAACTCGTATATCTGAAATGATATAGAACAAAGGTGCAAACTATTTTTTTAAAAAAAGATTCATTACATTGTGCTGTCTCATCAAAAGATTATGTGTTTGTATTTAAACCTGACTATATATTTGTGTATTATATTTAGTTATAATAAAAAATCTATTTGCAGATTTACCTATCAGATTTTCCAACATCATCCAAACAAGCACCTGACTTCATTGGACATCTAGCATCATATTGACGTATTATAGAATGACAAACATTTAACACTATTTTAGGCCATTTCATGTCGTCTCTTGTATGAATGACATAATTTTCCGAAGATCTTGTTAAAGAACTTAAATTATAATGATAACCATCATTGACAACTGTACAATTTGTTTGGAATCTTTTACCACAAGCTAATGCTGTCTTCCATACCATAAATAATTTGCATTGTTTCTCATTGTCCTACAAATAGTTCATTATCTAATTACTTATTCGTTATCTTATATATATTTCATCTTTAAATGTTATAGTTATTAAATTATATAATATACTGGAAAAAAGCAATTGTAAAGACAGCCCAGTATCTAATGGCTAATGTGCTTTCTGTCTAACATTCTATTTTGCTTTCCAATAAAAACAGGAACATCTTTCAGCTATTACCATTGAACAAGAATATCCATTCTTGTCCTTTTCAATATATTATATAATTTAATGATCACATATTTGTGTTTGTTATTATATTTAGAAAAGAAATTTATTACTTACATATGGAAATATCTCAGGATGCGAATTACTTTCTGCATCATAATCACAATACATAATAATTTCCACTTTATAATTAACTTTATTGTTAAACAATGAACATTTGTCACCGGTAAAATGAAATGATATCCTCCCAGATTTATTCTCAACTTCCGGAGGAAATTTTCCTGTTTATATAAATAAAATCAATTACTTTTAAATTCATAATACAATGGATAAGATATAAATTTGTGACATTACCTATTCCTTTTTCTGTGTTATTATTTATTAGACATATTGCATATCCATCTTGACTGTTACATTTTTTCTTAATGGAGAACATAATTGCATACGTATTGTTTCTTTTGGATGATTATTTTCAATAATAATATCTCCGTTATTTGATGATAATTTTGTGAAGCTATAATTAAAACCTAATTCATGATCAGGTACTTCGCAAAAAGAAGTTGAAGTCACAGTTAAAGCCTGTAAAGTATATGCAATTAATTTTTAAAACTTGACAACAATTTAATTAAAAATTATACAGCTTTTTAAATTAAACAATAAATAAATATACATGTAATGAAACTTGACAATCAATTTGAACATATACATATAATTAATGACCAACATATATATTTTTAAATAAAATTATAAATAATACTTTTATCAAAATGTATAAAAATAAACGAGAAAAATATATTTAAAGATTAAATAATAATTAATAAATACATACTGAAGCGATAACAGCTGATAAAGTGTAAAGAAAAAGTATCCTGTTAAATTTTGACATTGTTTACAGAATCAAGTTTTTCCCGTTACATTATCGATGTTTATCGCAATGGCTGAGAACACGCGACATAAAGTGTCGAATAAAGACGATGAAAATATCATCGATAATTCCTAGTGACAAAGAATTCGAATCACCAGCGATACGAAGTAGCAACAATGCGACAGGGAGGGGACGGTGCTATGATTTTTTTCCTGTTATCGTGCTGCCATTGTTAAAGCAGTCCCTCTATTCTGAGATTCTCTATTCTAAATTTTCCGCTATTTTAAATCAGCTGTTTTTCCTCTAAACTAAATAAGAGTCTCCTCTTGCGCTTCTCTTTTGTTAATTTACATTGACATGTGATCCCGTGTTAAATAACATTTATTAGACCGAATATTGTATCGGAGGTTGATTTGAGACAGACAGGAGGTTATTTCTGTATTATATCTTCGCATTAAAATAACTTTTTATATATATCTATATTATATATATATATATGTATATATAGTAATTTTTTTAGAGCCTGTCCAACAAAACTTGCATAATTAATTACCTTTGTACAAAGAAATCAGTAATCAATCACACGTCTGGCAGACGAAGACGTAACGATATGGCATCCTTTAATAATTTATATTATCCATCTGATTGGTCAATTTTCTTGCTTATACATTTATACGACTACGCAAGTGCATCTATGTATAATCGTCGAATCAATAATATAATTTATATATAAACGCAAGCAAAATAAATATTGTGAATCCTTACAAAAATTCTAGAGTATATATAGATACAAAATTCTTCCTTGAATAATTTAGAAATAAAAATAAAAAAAAAAAAACTAACATTAAAACGCATTATGTAAGAATGCATAAAGTAACTTTAATAATAACGTGAATGGAGTAAGGTGAAAAAAATAAAAAAAAATGTTATAGTCTATCAAAACCGGTCACGTGGTCAGCTTTGCGCGTACACACATACGCAAGCACGCGCATGCGCTGTCAGAATTTGGGATCATTGCACCGAATTCGCTAGCAAACTTGAGCTCATTTGCGCATGGAGAATCGCAGGGGTAACTTCGATTTATAGATTTAATCCATTTATTTTTACACTCAAACGACGGTGCCCTCCGCTAACGATCCGTTAATATAATTTTATTGTTTATTTCGCGTTCGCGAGCTGGGTGATGTAAATTAATTATGGAAGTGTGCGAGAATCGAGCGCAGGAAAAATCGCAGGACGGAGGTAAAAATTTGTATAACTCTTGCTAGTTTTATTCAATTTTACTTGCACAAAATGCGCTCGATGTGTGAAATTGTTTTTTAGAGAATTGTATGTAGTTTGAAGAGTATAAAGCTATCGCACACACATTCTTTTCATATGGTTAACTTAAACGCTATTGTTTCTGTTAAAGGTAGAGAGATGTATACATATATAGACAACATGGTAGTTCGCATTTTCAAACGAACTTTTAAGAGATGAATTATCGTTATATATACATATTCAAGATACAAATTTCTACGTTACGATAATTATTAAATAGCGTATAATGCATTGATTTCATATAATTATACATTTTTTATACGTTTTTACACACAAATACAATTCTATATATATATATATGTATTATTCTCTGTTCTCTATTAATAATTCAGAAGATGGCGTTTTGCGCGTTAGTATACTATCGAATAAAGAGAATTAATTTAGTAATTTAAATAATTTTAATTTTTTTCATTATTTTTATTTATGAAAATTTATTTTATAACTTTTTATTAAAAATTTACTAAAATAAAATATTATTTTATTTAAATTATTAATTAGTTAAGAGAAATATAAATTAAATTATTTTATATATTTTTCTTTTATTTTTAAGATTACTTAATAAGTAATATATATTTTTTGTTGTTTATTTTTATAGTATATATTTATATTTAATAGATATAAATTTTTATAATAAATTTTTATTTTATAATAAAAACATTTTATCAAGATAAAATAAAAATTTTTAAATCTGCTATTAAATATTTAAATTGATTAAAAATTAATCATTTTTCATGAAATTATATATTTTAGAATATGGATTTGTTTGGCAAGATTATCTTGATGCCACGAGCAGTGTGGAAGTTCCGCAAATTATGTTTCCACATGTGGAGTTGACATTACAAAACAGTATTGAGATAGGTATGTCATTAGAAGTACCAGTACAGAAAAATAATGAGCAAGAAGAACCATCATACTGGGTAGCCTCTATCGTCATGGCTTGTGGACCCTTGTTACGGTTGCGCTACTTTGGTGGTGATGATAGATCATTAGAATTTTGGTTTAATCTTACAAAAGAAGCTGGTCATGAACTTGGTTGGAGTGCAAAAAACAATAAAAAATTGGAACCACCTGATGCTATACTTGAGAAATCACCAGATTGTGCAGATAAGCTGAAGGATTTTTTAACAACAGCACGCACGCTTCCACCAGAAATGTTAACAGGGGTAAGGCATTAGATATATTTTCACATTATTTTTTATATATTAGAATAATAATTTAATATAATACTCTTTCTTATCTTTTTTTTCACAGGATAGCCTAAGTATGACAGATAAAATAAAACAGGGCATGAAAATTGAGATAAGTGATGTCTTGCATCCATATAAATTATGGGTAGCTACGGTAAGAGCATATTTACAAAAATCTCTGAAAAAAATATTCCAATACGAATTTATATTATGAAATACAAAAATAACTTACATAATATAAATTTCTTTAAAATAAGAGAAGCAATAAAATAATATTATTTCTATATTTTTCAGTTATTGCTCTAATATTTAAAGATATTTAATTATTTTTACAGATTATTGAAAATGTTGGAGGACGTCTTTTATTGAGATATGATACGCCCGGTTCCTTTCGTGAAGATTTTTGGATATTTTGTACATCCGAACGTTTACATTCATATGGATTTGCATCTAAATCAAATTCTAATTGGTTTTTAGAACCACCTGGCTCAATAGTCGACTTGTACACTTATGAAGAATGGAAAGATTTGTTAGAATCTAAACCAAAAGATGATGAACTATTGGAAGAATTATTTAATAATAATATAGATTATTCAAAACATAGTTTTAAAGTTGGAATGAAAGTAGAAGCTCTGCATCCAGTAGATCGAACAAAGATTTGCCCTGCTAGTGTAACAAAAGTATTTGACGATATGTATTTTCTTGTAAATATTGATGTATATATTGAACGTTCGGATGGATCAGATGATACGTTTGTGCCCACTAATTCAGAAAACAATACATGGCTATGTACTGCAGAGCATCCATATATATTTCCAATTGGATGGGCAAAAAGCATGACATCATGTAAATATCAGATAAATAATACATTCATTTTTTTTCATAATTGTATAATTTTATAATTGTAACTATACTATAATTCTATAAATATAAGTATTATTATTTATAAATTATATAGAAGAATATTTTAAATATTTTTCTATTTAATTCTTTGATTGCAATGCATTATTTTTGACAATTTTGTTCTGTTGTAGGATTACTCATCCGCAAGGTTGGACTTCAAAGACTGATGATTTTGATTGGAATGACTATTTGGAAGCATGTCATGCTACTGCAGCATCTGAAGATTTATTTGACAAACGTACGAGTGCTGCTGAAGCAGGTTTTGAATGTGGCATGAGATTAGAGGCTGTTGATCCAGAACACCAACATATAATATGCGCCGCGCACATTACTAAAATCATTGACAATCTGTTGTGGATAAAATTAGATAATTATGAATACTTTAAGCCAGATCACATAGTTGACATGCATTCCTTGCAAGTATTTCCTGTAGGATGGTGCGAATCTAATCACTATCCGTTAAAACCTCCGCATAATTACATTGAAATTTGTAAGAAACTAGAAATGTTCGCAAAAGAGGAGGAGAAGAAAGCCAATCTGTTGGACATACCAATTTCTGAACCACGATCTTCGCTCTGGTGCCCAAAGATATATTTTAACTACCGATGCTTTACAGGCCCGATGATCTCGAAAGGAAAATTAGCGACTCTTCCAAAATCAGTAGGACCTGGACCAGTTATATTAGTCATGCGAGAAGTTTTGTCAATGATTGTCTCTGTTGGGTATAGAAGTGCCAGAATTTTAAAGGTTCTGCAATGCGATTCTAAACCAGACCCTGGATATCATTTAGAAGTTTTAAAGGCGAAGCACAAAAATAATACATATCGCGCGAGCGTGGCTATTGTTACATCAGGAGACATGGTAGCGGACTTTTGCAGAAGTATTTGTAAAAAACTAATGGTGTGCCCAAATTTATTTGGTCCATCATATATACCAGAAAATGAATGTCCAGATGAGTGTTATAAAACATCGAAAACAAAATATAGTAAGTAACAGTAGCCTAAAGAAATTATATATATTATATATACAAAATTGTTTTACACTTATATACCATAAACATTAATTAATATAAAGAAAGTATTTTTATCGACATCTTTATTTTTGTAGCAGCGACAGTTGGAACTGGAAAGAGAGGAAAACCGAAAGGATATACAAGCATTATGGTGCAAAAGCCGAAACCTTGGGGTAAGAAACGTCGAAAGCGTCGTGGCAGATGGGCGAACAAACATAAGGAGATTCCGGAGGAATATGAGATTCATGAGGACGAGATGCCGTTTATGTCATTAGATCTGGCAAAACATGTCTCGGAGAGTCATATTGACGAGGCATTTAGTGGAAGACAACCGCTCTCAGAAATAGATATCATGATACAAAAAGGTCTGGAGAAATCTGACAAGTCGGATGACTTTAAGACTGAAATACCTTCCAGCAATGCTTCGGAAGATTCTGGTAGTTCATTCAATGATGGAAAGATAAAAGATAGAGAATTGTCCAGTCCTCCTAATTTAAGTTCTAAGCAGCATATTACGAGATTTAATCAGAATCCTGGAGTCACGAGAGGAATCAAGAGAGATTGGGACACAAGCATAGAATCTGATTGTTCTGAGGCAGATGCCGAATACATGAGATTGCAAAAGACACAACGGCGACCTAAAACTCGAAAGCTCGATTCAAATCCGTTATATTGGAGTGTAGATGATGTGTTTCGATATCTTAGAAAAACAAATGACTGCAAAGATCTCGCATATCGTGTCAAAGAGGAAGTAAGTATTGTAATTTCAATTCTAAAAATTATTAATATTTTTTAAATTATTATGTTATAGATAATAATATCTCTCTGTTAACCATATAGGAAATTGATGGTCTCGCATTTTTGCTGCTGAATCTTCCCTCTCTTACTCAGCACATGAAACTACGAACTAGTTTAGCCATGAAATTATGTAGACACGTTGAACAAGTTAAAGTTACATTCTTTTTACGACATATTCATGAAGTAGAGCCTGATCAGTATCAAATTGTTTAATTGACTAGTTTACAATAAAACCTGTAATTATCTTCTATATAATTACTAATTATCATTTATGTAGCGCAGTTCATTATATAGAGTCATATGTAATAATCGAAAGGAAAAATAATTGACAAATTTAAATAGATGATTCAAGATTTTACAATTATAAATTAAAGAATTCTTTATTCATTTTTATCAGTTTTATATTGCTAAAAACCGAGTAAATTCAATTGATTGAAACTCATGAAATTAGTGGAAGGTAAACAAGTTACAAACAAGATTATTTCTCAATTTATGTGTATAAAATTAATATACATATGAATATATTTATTTATTTTTACTACAGAACTAAAAAAGATATCGAGAATTTAAAAAAGGAAAAGTTCGCACTTTGCAAAAATTTGTATTTTATTCTTTTTTTTATATTTAAAAATAAATTATTCTTCATATTTTTATTGTGCGATAATATAAAATTATGTGAAGACTATCAACCGCTGATAAATTTTTAGTTAATAAAATATTTTTTTACACATTACGCTATTCTACTTATATATAATTAATAGTATTATATCTACATATTATACTATGTATATACTGTATTATTTTACTTATAATTAGTAGTATATAATATAATATTGTAATATCACATATATAGTGTATTATACCGATTGTATTTAGTATTCTTGATGAAATCTGAATATTTCATTCACGCAATACAATATACACTATTATTATAATTATGTTTCATAAATATGCGAGCTAGATGATAAAAAGATATAGTATCTTATTTAATTTTACGAAGATAATTAATGATGTCCCAATTTTATTACAAACTTCAAAATTAATAATTGAATACAATAAATAATATAATAATTAATATAATATTACATTGAATATATTTGATTTTAATTCAAAAAAACCGCGCCATTCTATTACCATCGGTCGGTATTTAAAATCTCGGACGGTAAGTCCATAAAACAAGTTGCGTCGATAGACAGGATAATGTACCAACGACATATATTCGGTGTCCTCTCTCTTCTACCCGTATACAAACACATATACCCATCTATACATGCGCACACAATATATGCATGACTCACACGCGTGCACACCACGGTACCGTACGGCGGGTTACGTATCCGAGTCAGTGGTTTCCGCAGTTTTTCGATGATGGCATAGCGGTGATGACGACGTGCTGGATACCGTGATACGCCGCCCGAGATCGGTGAGTCCCGCGTTTATTAAATCCAGCGATCACCGGCCTCGATTTCGCGCCCGCGAGACGAGACGACGAAAAGCGAGGACGAGGCGTGGAGAGACGATGCGAGAGAGTGAGTGAGTGAGAGAGAACAAATAGGTGGATACCGACGGCGTTGGCCGATCAATGCTATCCGCGGGTGTGCCCGCTTTTTGCTGCCCTGCCCTCCCGCTTTTTCGCCGCAACTTGTTTTCTGTCGCGTATTGTTGAAAAAGAGAGAGAGAGAAAAATTCTCGAAATTTTTCTCGCGCCGAAAACGATGCGTCTTATGTCGTCGTAGGATTCGTCGCCAAAATCCGTCGTTTATCCTAAGGACCGCGAGAATCCCGAAGGACGAGTGAGATCATCGTCATCATCGAGTGAACAAGTCATCGTCGTCGTCGATGTTTCCAGTCGATGAGAATTTTCATTAACGGTGATTGACAAATTGTGCGAATTCTTTCCTAGTCCTTTTCTTCCTCGACGATTTAAGGTCTCTCTCTCTCTCTCTTCCCGCGATCTAATCGACCTGTGCGTATTGCAACATGTATATACGTATGTGAGAAATGTATCGTTTATTGACGTTTTATTCTTTAATTTTTACGACGCGGGTGCACGCCCATTTTTTATTTGTCGCGTCTCCGTTAGCAACCACCGTCTCATAACACGTCCCGGCAAATTTGAAAATTTTTCATAATTGGGTCATCTTCGATTTTGTGATAATGCATATGTATGGCTAAGCGCACGCGCGCGTTAGGTACATATTATGTATATATATGTATGTGTGTGTATGTGCAATTTTGTATTTACCGCAATAGCAAAAGTGTGCACATATGATACCGCGAAGCGTAATTAATTAAAGAGAAGTCCCACATTGTTAAAGTGTGTTCGACGAACATTATAGGGCGTGTGTGAAATTTGATCGATTTTCGATTTTAAATAAAATTGGAAAAAGATTCTTTAGCGTGATTTCTTTCTCTTGATGATTTTTTAAATTTATCTTTAATAGAAAAAATTACTGTTTTAGATTTTCAAGTGCGTTGCAACCATGAAGCTCACTGTATGCATTATTTCCACGTTGGTGCTGGGGGCATCGGCTATAAGTGAGTATAAACAAATTGTATTTTATTTATTTACTAGTCTTTTTTTTTTATTTTTGTTAATACGTAGTACAAACTTTATACTGTTGCAATAAATTTTGCCATTAAAAGTGTGATTTTTAATTTTTAATTATAGTACGTGTCCCGGATTATGTAGAAGGTGAAAGACACTGTTATACAAATTGTTATAAATAATTGTGCTTTCTGTTACAAGAACAATTTTCACTCACACAAAACATTTCTGTACACCAAAACAAAGTTGTCTTACATAGGGATGCTATGCTTTTATACACTCATACATATCTACATGTTTATCTATTTCAATATACATACACTGATTTTTGTACACACAATCCACACAATCAGATTTGTGTATAGATTGCTGTGACTGATTGCCAAAACATATGAAAGAGAATGATAGTGTATGATAATGTTTTATGAATTTTTTTATTTTGAATTTTATTATGATTATATTTCATAAGATATAATTTTCCTTTTTATACATACACCATCCGTAGAATTATTTTTTCTTCACCAAATTATTTTTAATAAGTATATGTATTCTTGTACATATATATTTTGAAAATTATTAATTTTTTTTCTACATTATGGGTCGATTCCAACTTTTGATAAGTTTTATTCGACAAGTAGCATATCTTTGTCTCTTTTTTTTAGAACTAATCCAAAAAGAGATGAAAATATGCTACCTATCAAATAAAACTTACCCAGAAGTTGGAAAAATCGGCCCTATATCTGTGTAATCTTTTATGTTCTTTATAATTTATCACTATATGGTATACATAATAATTAGTCAATCATTTAGTCAATAATTAGTCAATCATTTAAATTGCAATTGCTCCTTATTAACAATTAAGCTAAAGTTAAAATCATTAGGATCATTCATCATAGCAAACTCATTGTATTAAATATAATATAAATGTATTTTCTGTGTCTTATTGTCCTTTTTAGATTATATTTGCATTATACATGTCACTTATTTCTTTTACTAGTTTACCTTTATTACAATGATTCCCTTCTAATATATTTTTCGATTATTAGTTCAATCGCCGCCACGGATATCTAAACAGCCACCAACAGACGAGCAGTTGTTTCAAGTGGTCCAGGCAAAAGTCAACGAGAACGATAAACCATTTTAATTGAATGCGAAGCAGAAGGAGAACCAGCTCCAACGTACGTATCTATTTTTTTCCTCAAAGTTGATTTATGACACATGTAGATACTAAATCTATATTTCTGTGTCGATTGTTTAAGCAGATAACGACATTATTAGACAATGATAACATCAAGGAAGTGGCTATTATATAAATATGTCTTAACACATTTACTAACAAGGGAAGTTCGGCAAGTGTAAAATTCAAAAAAATCTGAAACTTTGTATAAGTTTAGAGTAGATGAACCTAATCACGAAACAATTTTTTTTAGCTGCTGATATTCGGTTTTAGGGGTGCAGCATCCCCTTAAATAAAATCGGTGTTTACGTTTTCAAGCGAATATCGCCGAAATAATGAGAAATATAAAAAAATGTTTCCAGCAAAAGTTTTATGGTTTCGAAAGCTCTTTATAATGGCATGATCATATTTTGCAAAAATGTTTAATTTTTCAAAATACCCCCACCACGTATCTTTTTTTTTCATATTTAAATTTTTCTTGCAACTAAAATTAAAGTTTATTTCACGCCAAATTCAACCATATATAATAAAGTTGCGATCCGTAAACGTGTTTTTGAGAAATAAACTACGTACAGCTTGAGGTTTCGATGGATCATCAAAATCAAGTCCCCAATCATATTCAATCGTAATATCGTCTTTTAGAGAATCCCTTATTAAATTTGAAATTGCATCGTGGAGTTCTACTTCACGATGATTAACAGGAGTGACAGCGAGATTTGCAATGTGAAACGTTGTAATTAACAAATTTATAACGTTCGCCGTATTTATGGCCAACATTTTGACATAAATGCTTGAATAAATGTTATATGAAACTTTCCCACAGAAAGTATCACACGTACAATATATTAAATAACATGAATGAAATGCAGAAGCGGATGGCTTTTATACTAATTGTATAAGGAAAACGAACATTAAAGATAACCTTCCCTTTTATTGTATCACATCAATCTTGATAATCCTTCAACCTTTCAACTATTCAAAGTTGATAACGTTCTCATAAATATAATGACGTACATAATAGGAAATATTACATATACGTTAGTGTATCCGTGTTTATTTCATTCTAGACGATAATCTTTAATTTTTTTTACCAAAGGTCTAAATCAGAAATTACTTTATCGATAACTTTGATTTTTCTCTTACGATATATTTTGACTACTATATTATTTATAAAATGTGTAATATACAAAAATCAGTTACGTGATTAGATTTATTACGAACATCTGTTTCATCGTTATCTTGTATTGCGAAAAATTACAGAGAGAAGGGGAGAAAGAGAAGTCGTAGCCAAAATTAGCGGGCCGATAAAATTGACAGCATACCCTGTAAGGATGTTTTCAGTTTATTTCTCAAAAACACGTTTACGGATCGCAACTTTATTATATATGGTTGAATTTGGCGTGAAATAAACTTTAATTTTAGTTGCAAGAAAAATTTAAATATGAAAAAAAAAAGATACGTGGTGGGGGTATTTTGAAAAATTAAACATTTTTGCAAAATATGATCATGCCATTATAAAGAGCTTTCGAAACCATAAAACTTTTGCTGGAAACATTTTTTTATATTTCTCATTATTTCGGCGATATTCGCTTGAAAACGTAAACACCGATTTTATTTAAGGGGATGCTGCACCCCTAAAACCGAATATCAGCAGCTAAAAAAAATCGTTTCGTGATTAGGTTCATCTACTCTAAACTTATACAAAGTTTCAGATTGAAACTTTGAATTTTACACTTGCCGAACTTCCCTTGTAAGTTGCTCAAGAACGGAAAATGTACTTTGGAGACATTTCTCTCTCGTACAGTTTCATTGCACTTACAGCAATCGAGCTTATTCATCTCGTGTAGTCGGTACAAACTGGCCGATCTTAATTACAAAGATGATCTCATAGCTTTAGGATGTATGAAATAATCGTCACTAATACGCAGATATCTGTCTTGTATGAATATAGGGACGTGGATAGTATTTTTTACCTAAACTTTTTTGAATAAAATCATAAAAATAAATAAAAAAAACTTTGTTGTCCAACATTTATCATTATATGCTATATCGACGTATGTCGATTTGCCTCGATATTTTGTACGAGGATATAAGTATATTTGTTATTATGTAACATGCGGTTTTTTCAAATTCAAATTTATTATATATATAATGTATTATATGTATGTCGTAATTCTCGGTTTGAGATTTGTATATATATATATAAATATTATATTACATACAGTATAATATTACTTATAAATATATATAGTTAATAACTTTTTAAGATACAAATATATTAATATGCGGAATAATACTTGTATGTTATGTAAAATATAAAGATAATATATATATTCATTATTATATTATAGGTATCGTTGGATTAAAAACGGAAAAAACTTTGAATGGCCGGCGTATGACGATCGCATTTCTCAACAGCCTGGTCGAGGTACCTTAGTGATTTCAAGACCAAGGGACGAAGATCTAGGACAGTATCAATGTTTTGCGGAGAATGAATGGGGTATAGCCACATCGAATTCGGTGTTTGTTCGAAAGGCTGAATTGAATTCTTTCAAGGATGAAAATCCGATAACTCAGAATGCAAATGAGGGTTCCCCCTTCAAACTTACCTGCCAACCACCAGATGGCTGGCCTAAGCCGAACGTTTACTGGCTAATTCAGGATGTTAGCGGTGGTATCAAGTCAATCAATAATTCCAGGATGACTCTGGACCCGGAGGGTAATCTCTGGTTCAGCAATGTCACGAAGTACGATGCCTCGGAAGAGTTTTACTACGCCTGTGCCGCCACATCTGTGTTCAGAAACGAATACAAATTAGGCAATAAGGTTTTGCTAAACGTAATTTCTACAGGTGCATCCACCGGCCAGAACAAGTATCCCCCCGAGAGACAATATGTCAGCAGGAAAAACGAGGTCGCTCTGCGCGGTAAGAAAGTAGAGCTGTACTGTATATTTGGTGGAACGCCTTTGCCGCAGATCGTTTGGAGCAAAAACGGTCAACTGATCAGTCCGAGCGACAGAGTAACTCAAGGGAACTACGGCAAGTCTCTTGTCTTAAAACATGTCAATTTCGAGGATGAAGGAACCTACACTTGCGAGGCGTCGAACGGAGTGGGCGCTGCCCAGTCGTATTCGATAAACTTAAACGTGATGGCTGTACCGTATTTCACGGTCGAGCCGGAATTCGTGAACGCCGCGGAGGACGAGACCGTGGAAATTAGATGCGAGGCCAGCGGAGTGCCCGTTCCCGAGATCAAGTGGATACACAATGGCAAACCGATATCCGAGGCACCGCCGAATAACAGACGGCGAGTCACGCCGAATTCTATCATCATCGAGAAGCTGGTGAAGAAGGACACGGGCAATTATGGATGTAACGCCACCAACTCGTTGGGATACGTTTACAAAGACGTTTACGTGAACGTGCTGGCGCTCGATCCGGACATCACGCAACCGCCCATGGATATGAGTACGGTCGATGGCAAGACCGTGCGGGTCACATGTCGCGTTTTCGGCGCGCCCAAACCTGAGGTCAAGTGGATCAGGAACGGACAGGAATTGACTGGCGGTCGATACAAGACTTTAGACTCGGGCGATTTGGAAATTGAAAATGTGATATTCTTGGACGCGGGTACTTACACGTGTCACGCCTCCAATAAATTCGGCGAGGTAAAGGCGTCTGCCGTTTTAGTCGTGAAGGAACACACTAGAATAACGGACGAGCCGGAGGATTACGAAGTCGCGGCGGGCTCCACTGCCACATTCAGGTAAATATATCTCGTAAAAAGAAAAATTAATAAATTTATAATTCTGAAACTGTTTAGAAAAATTAGAAACCTTATTTTTAATCTTTCTTTTTTTGTGTTTGTTTAGGTGCAATGCTGTTACTGATCCCAGTCTACCTCTGGTTATAGACTGGTTGAGTAATGGTGAACCGATAGACTTTGAGATGGAACCCAGATTTATACGGAGCTCCGATTATTCTTTGATGATCACAAAGACGACCGAATTAGATTCCGGTACTTATACTTGCGTTGCGCACACCGAACTGGACGAAGCGAGAGCGCAGGCGACGCTGATAGTTCAGGATGTACCTAATTCACCGAGATTAGTTGGTATCACGTGCACGTCGAAGGAAGCCATTGTTCAATGGATACCCATGGGCGATAACAGAGCACCCATTCTGCGCTACACCATTCAATACAACACTAGTTTTACGCCGGATACTTGGGAGATATCCAAAGATTTTGTTCCCGCCACCGAGCAGAGATATTCAGTGCCCATGTCACCGTGGGCTAATTACACATACCGCGTTCTCGCATGGAATAAGATAGGTGAGACTTTGAAAATTAAATTATGTACAATTGTAATAACATAATTCAGCTTCGAATTGATCGCTAAATTATACACGTCATTATGCGACTTTCTACTTCGTTTTTCGAGGATAAAATAAAAACTTTAATACATTGTAATATTTGCAACAGGTCCATCTCTACCATCACCACATAGTGACGTTTGTACCACCTTACCGGATGTCCCTTATAAAAATCCGGACAATGTCATGGGCAAAGGCAACACACCGCAAAATTTGGTTATCTCGTGGACGACTATGCCGCAAGTAGAGCATAATGCTCCCAGATTTATGTACCGAGTGTATTATAAGAGAGATATACCCGGTGAGAAATGGACTATTCAAGATATAAACGATTGGAGAAAAAACAAGTTGCTAGTGGAAAATCAACCTACATACCAGAGATACAAGCTTAAAGTCATCGCAATAAACGAGAAGGGAGAGAGTAGAGCATCGGCTGAGGAAATTACCGGATATTCTGGGGAAGACAGTAAGATCTGATGAAATTACTTTATTATTAAATAGCAAAGTTTGCCCATTATATTCGGCAGTCGATAATTGTACGATTTAATTATCATTAAATTATTTTATTTCAGTACCTCAGCAAGCGCCAGGTAATTTTACACTAAATCAAGTAAAATCGAGCACGACCGCTCAACTGTCGTGGAGTCAGGTGCCGGAAGAATCGGTGAGGGGCGAGTTGCAAGGATACAAAATTCAGACGTGGACGGATAAGGACGGCGAGAAAGGAATGCGCGAGATCGACATTCGCGGCGGCAACAAGACGCATGCGCTGGTCACAAAGTTTGTTCCGTACAGCAGGAATAACGTGAGAATACTCGCTTACAATGGCAGGTAATGAAAAACATTGGATATACACGTATTCGATTGTCGTGTACTGTTTCTCTACATAATTATAATAACGTGTTTTTGCGATATATAGATACGCCGGTCCTCCGTCCGAGACTTTGAGCTTCGAGACACCGGAAGGAGTTCCCGGAACGGTACTTAGTTTTGAAGCATTTCCCATAGGATCCAGCGCTCTGTTCCTTGTGTGGACGCGGCCCGCGGAACCGAACGGCATCTTAACCGGATATAGGATCTATTATCAGGTTGTGAATGGCACGAAATTAGGAACTCTTCTCGAGAGAAAACCGCATGTTATGAATCCAGACGACACGACCGCCAAATTACCTGGGTTAGCGCCTGACACGATATACCGCGTTCACATACGTGCCACAACCAAAATTGGCGAAGGCAATGAGTAAGTTTACAAGAATACAGAAACATAATAACATTTCTATAAGACGATAATAAAATTTTACGTTTATACAGCTATTTCATTGAACAAAAGACACGAACGTCTAAAAAACCTGACGTCCCGCAATTTACATGGGAAACTGTACCAACGGAAAATGGATATGCAAACGTGAGAGTAATTTGGGTACCGAATCTGAACGGCAATCCGGGAAGTCATTTTTATGTTAAACACAAGCTCAAGGGCGAAACGATATCTACGGAGACTGATCCCGAATTTCTATCGAACGGTATTGAGGTAAGTTTACAGTAATGATTAATGATAGATAATCTTTATTGCAAAAAAAAAAGAAAAATTAAATATTGTATATATTTAACAAATAATTATTGATTCACACAGTTGCGTGGTCTTCAAAGCGGTGAAGTCTATGTGATGTCGGTTGTTGCTGTCGACGGAGATTACGTGACTGAAAGCGCTTCTCAAGAAGTGGAGACGAGCAGTGAAGGGCCCATTATTCAACCGAAGGAAAATGTCGCAACGGCTGGTTGGTTCATAGGTGAGGCTACTTCTTAGTTATCACGATTATCAGATCTGATATTAGCAAGGTGGCATATGTTAAAGAGTGTTATGATTTTCCTAGGAATGATGCTGGCGATCGCTATCCTCCTCCTAGTGCTGATAATCGTTTGCGTGATTAAACGAAACAGAGGTGGAAAGTACGCGGTGCATGAGCGAGAATTGGCCGCTGGACGTGGCGATTATCCCGAGGAGGGCGGATTCCATGAATATTCACAACCACTGGACACCAAATCGGCTGGTGGACGCGCGTCCTTAGCATCATCTTCTCATCAGGATGGCAAACATCCTGAATCGGACACGGACTCCATGGCGGAGTACGGTGACGGTGATACAGGTTGGTTATAGAATTTTACACACAGTAAACGGCCCTCAGAAATATCTAAAGCATTAGAAAAGTCTGTGACCTACATACATGTATGGTATATAAATTAAAAGTATATTGTGCATGAGTTTTTTCATTATCAAACATGATTGATTAGATTCATTTCCATACATATTATTATGGTGAAAAACTAGCTTAGATACATATTGAATTATTGTTATAATATAGAGAGGTATCAAATCTTCATATTTCATATTTCATATTTCACATGAACACAGCTAAGAATAGTGTGTCACGAAATTATTCTTATCTGCAAGTGCTTTTCCCTTTTATATGTTTCATTATTACACTTTGCAGTTGCAATAGCATAAGTTGATTGTATTTACTTTTTAACGTTTATATTTTGTCTTAGACTTTTATTTTCAACTTATTATATTCAGTTTATATTTTGTTATACACTTTATTTTTGCTTTACACATTTTGCTTGAATCGATACAGAGGGCATGAACGAAGATGGTTCTTTCATTGGTCAATATGGCCGTCATCGTAAGCAGGAACCAAATTCGCAAGCATTTGCCACTCTAGTCTAAGGTAAGCTTGACACAAACATGTTTTTAACGCTAAATCACCGCATATGAGCTTTGAAACAAAAAATATCGAACTGTTTAAAATTTGATATATTATTTATTCTTTTACAAAGTTGCATGCTAATATTTTTAACGTTTAGTAAATATTATTTCAAAGCCAAACTTTAATACACGCACATACATATACATACACATAGGTTTATACATTTTATGTATAAGAGCAGTGTAGAATTCGCTATAAAATTTGGAATCTGTCGTTTGTTCTAGGTCGCTTCACTGAAGATGGATCCTTCATCGGGCAATACGGACCTAAAGGTAGGCCAGAGGAGACACCACCAATTCCGACTGGCACTATGGCCACGTATGTGTAACATCTACAGCTATGTTAATCAAAGTCGCATAAAAAAAGGAAAAAAAGGAAAAAAAAAACGTTTTCTCGTTACGGTTAAGGATCAGAGCCCGATCCTTGGCTACTGCAGCAGCTCTGCTATGCACCTTGCGCTGGGCGCAATGTCCAACACTATACTGCCAATTAGACTCTGGGGATTTGGGTTTTATAGTTCCTATAGAGTAAACCGTGACTGTCTTTCACACTCATTTACACATTTATAGATTTCCGATGCGCAATAATCGGATACGAGTTTTGAGTTTCTGAAATATTCAAAAACATTCCATATATATTTTTTCGCTTTTTAGCATTTTTGAACGTGTAACAAAAGTAAGTCAATTTTTGTTACGAATATTTTTTTCTTCATTCCATTGTCAAGAGTGCTGATAATTTGCAATACACAAGGGCATATCTCTATTTGAATGATAAAACCCAGAAACTGTAGGTGTTTCATAGCGTGCAAGCTATTTATGGAAATAGTATCGTAGAAACTATTCTAGCATTGATCGTAATATTTGACAGAGCCAGATTGAGTTGGACACGCCGATTGGTGACAAGGTATACGAATTGTTCCAGACTTGTGACATACTTTTAAGACTGCATGTAGTATCCAATGTCAACATGACGCGCGTTGATTTCTAAATTTATTACGACGTACATATATATAAATTTTTTAACTTAGTATCGAGTATTATAATTGAAAAAAAATTTGGAAATTGCTTTTGCTAAAAGTAAACATTATTGCTTATTCAATACAAGTATTTGCACATCTCTCATTTTTCAAGTCATTTATTGCGTTGTTACTTACATTTATGTTTATAAATTTTTTTCTAAATTATCAGATTACTCTTGAAAAATGCTTTATAGCGTCCACTTGAATTGTATCCATAAGAAGAGATTGGACAATATTGAAATAATTCAGATTAACATAATTTTCTACCGTACATATAGAATACAAAATTATTAGGGATAAACGTATAAGAGTAAATAAAAATATTTCTTTCTCTTTTACGAGAGTTAAATACTTGTATCGATAGCCAATAAAAATTATTTTTAATAGAAATTCTTTTATTCTAGTAATATATTATATTCGAGTAACTGTAATATATATATATATCGAAATGTATTCACAAAGTGTTAAATCTTAGTGCCTATATTGGACTTGAAAATATTTATGATAATGAAATTATTAAATTTCTAAAACGTAAGTGACATTCATGCTTTAAATGAGACACATTAATTGAAATTTTCGCGATAAATGCTTTTATTCTAATAAAGCTTTATTGTGAAATTGGTGCACAATGGAATTAGAAAGTGTTTACGGCAAATTTTTACCATTTTATATTGTATAAATAAAGCGAATATACAATATATATATGATTTAGATTAAAAAGATCGTATATTAACTAAAGATTTTGTAACGAAAATAAATCAAAATGATTTAAAACGCACGTTACATGACAGAGTGAATGATACTATACATTTACATGCAATCTTGAAAATGACAAACAATAAAAAGATAGTGTCGCAATCTGGCTTCGACTGATTTTAACTGTAATCTTCTAATGGACGGTTTCTAAGAACCTTTAGCCGCGATCAATTTTTACTCTGCCGAAAAAGGGCCAAATCTAAATGAACGAATAATATAATCTACATTTGTCATGCACTTACACTTTTTCATTATTAACAAACACACATATATATATATATTTACATACACATATGCGCAAACAAATGAGGACACGCAAAGGATAGTAAAGGGTAAAGTAATATTGAAGAGGAGAGATTGTATATGCACCATATAAGTAGATAACAAAAATCGCAAGGCCTCTATAAGTAATTGTTGCTTTTGTATGTGAAACATGCTTCGACACGAAAACTCTTATTTTTTATGAGAAAGTTTACTTTTTTTTGCTTTTTTGATAATTTTATTATAATCCAGTAATTGTAAGCTAATGCTACATAATTATTTAATATATATACATAAAGATATTAAATATATATTATATATATATATATATATAAAGAGAAAGCGAAAGAAAGAGAAAAATGAAAGAGACATTATATAGATATATAGATATATATATATATATATTAATTATGAATTATTATAATTATTATTAGTAATTTTTTAAAGGATGCGACGATCACACAAGCAGAGCAACTATTATATAATTATTATTACTTAGTGTATGAGATGTTAAAATTTGTTTAAACCTTTAAGTGCGATTTGTACAAAAAATTTGTTTAGATAAACGTTAAGTTAACATTAGTCAATGCGGTGTACAGGTTGTCTGCAAAAGTGTCGCAAGCAAATATGTCAGGTACAAAGATAAAGCGAAACAAAGATAGGTACAAAGTGTATAATATTTATGATACGTATGAATATGCAAAGAATCATGAATTATAGTACTTTTAAATGATATATCATCACCTGATATCAGACAGGACTACTAGCCCGTGTCTTTCTGCATAACGCGAATTCTTATAAGGAATGTATCCTTTTATATACCGAACGCAAAAAGTATCTTTCAGATACAATTGAAATATATTTGTTACGGTCTTTTTTGCCGAACATCCTGTACAAGTGACTTGGACGTCACACGATATAATTAAGATTTTTCTTTTTAATTACACAGTATCGGCTTATATCGCAATAATATACGAGCGTTTTCGTATTATTGTACGTCCGTTATGATGTTATTCATATATTGATGTTAAAACCAAAATAATCTTAGAGGAAGAGCGTGAATATTGTAGACGGTTGTGTGACGGATGCTAAAGACTGCGCACTGCGATAAACAGCTGTCATATATTCAATCGTTTATTCGCGAAGGAACCACTTGCGAGAGTTCACTTGAACCTGGTTTATAGCTTTATCGGTATATATACGTACATAAGCGAAAGATTGCGATATATTAACAGTATGAGACAATCTAATATCATCGATCGAACATAATAGTGAGGATGCAACTCTGTGCAATCTTTAAACTTACTCTCGAGACCGTAATTATAGACACATAAGATTTTTCTCGGATCAATATCTTGATATTATTATGATCGCGCTAGCAATAACCATGACGAAATTGACGATGGAATTATAGATCTTATCTTTGGTAATCTCGATGTCCAAGTCACACACAAGACACACATACACAAAAAGACAAACATACACACACGACGAAAGAGCGCGTTTTTAGAGTATTTTTCTATTATGCTAGCCTCTCGATTTTTATCCGGGATATGAGCGATCATTCGTTCTGCACATCAATAAACCATCAGTTTAGACTCGTTAATCTATAATATTATACATATTATACATGTATAAAAAAAAACAACTTCCATATACTTTCGCACGAGCAGCAGCTCTTCGTACGTTTAATATTTGTATTTCTCTTCTTTATTTTTTTTTATATAATTTTGTACTTTGTATAACAAAAGAAATTACTTGCGTTTTATTATGCGCGATTTCCCATCTACAAACGGATGCGTGCGTTGCGTCGATTTTGCGTATCTCGTGTTCTCCTTCGAGATGGAGAACACATCTACAATTACTATTACTCTGCTTTTGGTATTAGGTTGCGTCGATGAAGGGAGAAATGGTTCGTGATTTTACTATTCAAGAGTGTTCATTGTACAACGAGCACGCACACGTTGTTCTAAAAAAATATTGTAGTCTTGATTCTTTTACAGCGACTTTCTCTTGGAATCTCGATTATTTCTTAATGCACAATTAAGTGTTCATTTTCAATTAGTTTAATTGATCGCAATATTATACGTATATTTTATATTGAGATATATATATTATATATCCTACTATTAAATGATAAGCGCGAGAGAATAGTATTATATATAATAATCGATAACACACGTTTGCGTTAACGTACTTCCGAATCTCTTTCAATGTTATAAAGTTACTTAAAAACATTACGTCATAAGATCATTGTAGAATGTTCGCCGTAAAAAGAGTCAATGATGCAGAAACGACGAATCTCGATGATGTAATACAACGTGTGCCCGCTTATCGTCGTGCGAGTTCTTTATATCGTATATTACCTTATTGATATTTACTAAATAGTGTGATGCTGATGTGTTTTTTTTTTCGCCATTTTATTACACGTACAGCTATAGAGAAAAAGGAGAGTGAGTGAGCGCATTTCCGTCTCATCGGCCGTTCATAACAGTTTTAGACATAATTTTTCTACGAGATTTAAAAGACCGCAGAGTTTTCGAAAAATGTGCACACAGGGCGCTCCATCCAGCTTTGATAACGCTTTGAATTTAATCGACTCGTATTGCGAAGAAGAAATCGCTTATGTAGAAAAAGCTGCGCATATATTGACATGAAAAGGCACAAAACTTTTGGCCTAACTTTCATCGTGCAAACATCCTTCATCACATGAGCGAGTTGTTGAATATCGCGCGATTGGATGGATCACCCTGTAGAGAGAAAAAGAGAGAGATCTCGTCTCTTCGTGAAAGCAGCGGGATACCGAAATCGGACATCCATATACATATATTGCATAATTCTAAGCGAAAATATTATTATATCTTTTTAAGTTTACTCTCATTCACGATACGCGTATCGATGCGCATCCTGACATTTGTCCGCATAACTCATGTCAATGAAATTTAAAAAAAAGGAAAAGAATAAACGAAGAGGAAATCCACAAAGAGGGGCATTATAGTTCGGATCCATCCATTTTTACGATTCAATAAATTAAATCAATAGCGAGATTCCTCTCATTCGTCATTTCCATCCAGTAAAATTAATATACAATTTAATCTTTAACATTAGTTTCTTATATATTAATTTCTACGAGTATTTTAGATATATAATTTCAAATTCTCTTCAAAGGAACATGAAACACAAAATACATACGCGTATAAATACATCTTTTATTTTGATAAAACCATTTTAAGAGTAACAACATTTCGCCTAAAATTATAATTTGAACACAATTACACGTTATGTTCTCTCTAAATAGAATCTCCTGTAAATCCGCCGACTGCGATAAATCCGCGCGACTACGCGAACGCAGAAATCGAGCAAGATGTGATCGATAATGTGATTATGCTAGACGGGTTTTTTTTTTGCGTCTGTATTCTCTCGATCTTCTGCGAGCTACTCCGGATCCTTTCTTTCTCTCCCTCATCGCGGTTTGTGCCACAGACGAATAAAAGATCGAGGGAGAATAAAGGGAGATGCGATCGGGGCAGACCTTCCACAGAAATATAACTGCGATCGAACGGCAATTCTTCGATCACTCGAATCTCTATATGTGGATATAACAAGCATATTTCAATTTTGGAGTCTTGGACTGCTGTACATTCGCAAAATGAGTAAAAGTAATATACCTAATCTAAAGAGGACAAAAATATTTGATTACAATATATACAACTTACATCCTCCTGTTACAAGTTTATCTTGCTCGATTTTACATTAATCAAAAATTGCGAGATTATTGTCTTTCGAAAAGAGATGCAGATTTTTGAAAAGTTTGAACTTAATGAAGGATCGCTCTATGACATGCATATCAGAAATATCTGCCGAAGAGTAATCCGGCGACAAAACGTGCAATCGATAACGCAACCTACACGCGTTATATACATGGTCCATGGGAACGGGAAAGCGAGACGAGTTGTAAGAGAGCGTCCGCGAGGCAGGCAGGCTGCCGGTTTATTCCTGATCGAATGTTTTTGTACGTCCGCCGCGCAATCCTAATTGAATTCGCTGTTGGCAGGCGAAGTTGCACCGGGAGAGCCGTATTATACGTAGAGAATTTCTCATTCTTTTCTCAAAACTTGCGTCCGTCCTCTCGGTTTCTCTTCGAGATCAAAATACGTGGTTCCAAAGTGGACCTCTCGAGTTTGGAAAGAATCGCGATGCAGGAATTGACGTCATTTTTCCCGTACAGCTGATTCTGCAAGGATTATAAAAATAGTTTATAAAAGATAAAATTAAATAATCGAAGGAATTTATGAGGTACTTGTATAAAAGGGATTCGTACGTGATATTCCGTCATTGGATGTTTCTGACCGTGCCTTTAAGAATTTGTGACCATTCCGCAACATGTTCACGGTCGTACTGGAAGAAGCGTACCGGAAGAAGAAGGATAAATAGAGGAGGAAGACGGAGAGGCTTTCAGCTGCGTAGGATAACAATGGACTACTTGTTGGAGGTAGTCCGTTCCACTGATACAACGGTTATACTATTGATTATTCATTGAGGATAGACGCTCTTGAAGAGAGTATCGGCGATTCGGAAGATCCATCTAAAAATAGAATTCTAATTCTAATTCTAATTATATATTTCCGATTATTGATGAACGTGAACTTTTCTTATACAATCTGGGAAAACTTCCGCTTCGTCGCGTCGTAAACTTCTTGCATATGTAACATGAAGTTTTATAAAATCATGAGTTCGTGGTAACATCATCGAGGCATCACGATAATAAATATAAAATATATAAGGAAAAGGGATGAAATAAAAATTTATATTTTATATCAAA